TCAGCCCGGGGCGTTGCGGTAGATCGACTTCTTGACCATGACGTGGAGCGAGTGTCCTCTTGGCGGCGAGCCCAGGGGGGAAGTGAAAGGGGGCAGGCCTTCTCAGAAGGCCTGCCCCCTCTCGGACGCCTGGTGGCTTCTGGGCCATAGCTCAGCTCTCCAGCGGCCCTTCGGGACGATCTGGGCACCCCGGGACGCCTCTCGGCGCGGCGCAGCTGCTGGAACGCATCCCCAGGCTGGAACACCGCTGCAGACCAACGAAAACGCCCGATGAGCCCGAACCTCGAAGCCTGAAGCTCCCAGACTTCCCCACCTGAGCGCGCCGCGGAGTCCCCGTATCACCACGTTCGTCAGCGCGCTCAGCGCAGCGCCCGCGAGCTGCTCGCTCTGCAGCTCCGCGAAGGCGTACTTGTTGTCGAACGTGGCCACGTCCAGCACTGCGCTGCCGGCCGCGGGGCTGTACTCGGGCAGGTTGATGCAGATGTAGTCCAGGAGCTCCTGCAGCTCCTTCTTCGTCACCCCTGGCTCCTCAGGAGGAACGGACAAATAAAACAACGTAGACGTAGACTGCCAGAGCTCCGCGCGGATTTCTGGAGTCGGCGCTGGACCCCCTGGCGCGCTCCGCGCCCATCCGAGGAATCCGCGCGGGGCTCCAACAAATTTGGTTCCTGCAGTTCTTCCTTTCGAGTAGGGATCGACTACAGAATCGGTCTACCCCAAACTTGATTTTCTCGTCGAATATATGCAAAACATGCGTAGAATGCTCGTAGATCGTGCCGCGCATTGTTCGTGGATTCGACGGGGAAATCAATGTTGGGGTAAGTCAATTATGTAGTCGATCCCCTTGAGTGGCAACTCATGGGAGCCTCCCATACCATCTTGTCGGCTTTTGCGAATCGACGCTAGTCGACGCTAATCGACGCTAAATCGACGCTAATGGATGCTAACCGACGCTAGATCGGCGCCACCTCACCGACTCCAAGGCGCTGATCGACGCCAACCGACGATGAGGACAGAATTGCAAGGGCATGCCAGGCTCCCATGATTTTCGGGGATGGATAGAACCCCCTTCAGTAAAACGTGGTTTAGTGAAACGACCTCGGGCCCAAACCTGGCGGGCGCAAGCCTGGAACATGACGGCCGCGGCGCCCTCTCGAGAACCGAAAACGGACAATTCACTAATCGACGTGTCAGGGTTGGGGTTCTGTCCGCCCCAGAGATCTGCGACCGAAACTATGTAGTCGATCCCCTACTCGATTCCTCTTCGATCCTTGAGCCCGCCGATGTAGAGCTGCCGCCTCCGGAGCGACGCCCTGCAGCCCGCCCGCATGTCGTCCTGGGAGGGCAGCAGCCCCAGCTGCCGCAGCGGGGACACGTCGAGGGCGATCGCCTCCCCGCCCTTCGGGGCTTCGTAACACCTGGGCCGCGCCACAGTCAGCGGGCGCCCCCGAACCCTGAGGATAGAAGAAAAAGAGACGCCGTGAACAGAATTTGTTGGCGCTCCGCGCGAATTTCTAGGATCCGCGCTGGGCCCCCCTGGCGGCGCCTCCGGCGCCGCCCCTGGCGCACTCCGCGCGCCAGGGAGGGGGGCCCAGCGCGGATCCAAGAAATTCGCGCGGAGCGCCAAGAGTTTGTGTTTATGGCGTTTTCTCCTCTTCGAGATGAAGGTCATCTGTATCGCCGTACTCGCCAGCACCGCGTCTGAGAACTGCACGAAGGCCGACACGCGGGACTCGCCGATCTTCACCCGATCGACAGCGAAGGACACGTGCGGGTACCGCTGGTGAAACTCCGGCAGCATCGAGAACATGTTGTCGAATGCGTCGGCCAACTCCTTCGGACCGACCTGCTCGGCGTCTTGGAGGTTGACGATGTACACCTCGCGGTACCTCTCGGGCGGCTTCTCTGCGACGGACCCCCCTTCCAGGTGGCAGAACTCGCGGATGAAGTGAAGCTTGCCGAGGGTGACGCGGCTCTTGCCATCCCACCATGTCAGGTCCTTCTCGAAGGCCGTCGGCTTCTTCTCAAAGGCCATCGGCTTCTCCGGCGCCATCCGAGACCGAAACTCCACGCCGGGGGGCAGGCCCTTGGCCCCCAGCGGCGGCGGCGGCGGCATCGGCGGCGGTGGCGGCACGGTGCACATGCCCCACATGGGCCAGGTGCGGGCCCACGGCGCCGGGCCGCCCCACACCGCCTGCGGGAAGCACGGCGGCTCGCACGCCGACAGCTGCTGCTCCGCGGGCTCCGCGCAGGCGGCCGCACCGGGGGCGCCCGGGCCTGCGGCGGCCGCGATCGCCGCCGTGGCCGCGGCCGGGGCCGCGGCGGCCGCCGCCTCGTCGGCGCCGTGGCCGCGGCCCGACAGCAGCCTCTGCTCCTTCAGGCGCTGCCGCCGCCGCCACGCGTGCCCGGGCGCGCCGGGGGGCTGCCCAGCAGGCGCCGGCGCCGCCAAGGCTGGCGCGCTAGCGGCCGCCTCCTCCCCCCCCGCGCCAGGGCGCGGCGAGGCCGGCGTCGAGACCGACGACGGCGAGCCGCCGCGGTGCGAGCGGCGGCTGCTGCTGCAGGGCGAGGGCGAGGTCGAGCCGCCGCCGGCGCTGCCGACCGAGCTGCTACCGGGCGACGGCGGCGCGCCGCAGGCCTCGCCGGCGGTCAGCAGGCCCGCCGCCCGCGCGTGCTCGTAAGGGGGCCAGCACATCCAGGGAGGGTGGCACAGCCCGAAGCCGAACGGCACGAGGGGCCTCGCGGGCTGCGCGGGCAACGCCGCGGGGTCCCCCGTCGGCGCCGCCGGCTGGCCGTGCGGCCGCCGGCGGCTGCGGCTCCGGCCCCGCGGGGCCGCCCAGGGCTCAGTCGGCGGAGCCGCCGCCGTCGGAGGAGGGGGCGGCGGGGGCAGCGCCAGCGCCTTGGGGCAGCGCAGCGGGGGTGGCTGCTCCGAGCTCTTGACCCAGCATATCACGCCGCTGCCCATCTTGCGATAGTAGAGCACCATCGGAGCCACACAGGCACAAGCTTCCAGACGTCCGCCGACGATTTTTCGCCGACGATCTTTCCTGCGGGCCCGAACCCCATCTCCACAGGGGGTGCGGGGATGGCGTCTGGCGGCAGGGAAACCGCCCGAGGGTGCCCGACAGCTTATGCTCGTGTGGCTCTCGGTCCTCTAGATAGGTGAGCTTGAGAGGGCGCCCCCCAGGCCCGCCGCCGTAGATGATCTTGGGTGTCCACGGTATCTTCGGTCTTGCATTTGCGGGCCTGGCGACGGCGGCAGGGCCGAGCGGCATTTCCGCCCCGTTGGTCGTGCGGCACTAGCGGCGAGGATGCTGCCGCCCAGCGCCCGAGGAAGCGGCGCGCCCAGCAGAGGCACCCGGAGGCTCTCTTGAGCAGAACGCTTGGGATCCGCTTGCAGATCTCAACGACAGCACTGGCCCGCGGACACTCCCCATGCGCATCCGTGACTCGGGCGGGCGCGGGATCATGATGACGGCGACAGCGGCGACGACGACGACGACGGCGATGGCAAGGATGATGGTGATCGTGGTGGCGATGGTGACGATAGCGACGATAGCGATGATGAGGGTGGCGATGATGATGATGATGATGATGATGATGATGATGATGATGATGATGATGATGATGATGATGATGATGATGATGATGATGATGATGATGATGATCATGATGGTGATGATGATGGTGATGATGATCATGATGATGATCATGATGGTGATGATGATCATGATGATGACGATGGTGACGATGATAATGATGACGGTGATGAAAGTGGGAGTGATGGTGACAACGGCGGTCTTGAAACACTTAGAAAAATGGTGTTCAAGGATTTCGAAATGCGCGCACGGGGACGCGCACATGTGGCCCGTCTGGTTTTATTTCACGGAGGTGATGGGCAAGCGATTCGTAGTGCATATGTCCGGCATGCGCGCGCGTGTGGCCAAGATGGTCGAAACGGACAGCATGGCCAAAGAAGCACTGTTTTTCTCGTGGTTTCAACGGGCGCGCATGAAGTAAGCAACTTTGAGAAAGGGGGGGCGATACCTGCCGGCCGCGTAAAGTGGTATTTGATATGTGCGCGGGCTTTCCCAGCGGTCGGAAGAAGTAGGTAGAAACATAGAGTAGGAAGGCGTTGAAAATGAATGGGGTGTCCGCCCGCCCCCAAAAGAGGACGGAAAAGGGGAAGCCACTCGATCATTGAAGTAGGAAGGCGCTTAAAGTAGACCTTTCCACCTTGCAACGACAGAGGGGTAAAACTTCTCGACGCCGGCGGGGCAGGAGCGGGGAAAGCGAGGGCTTTGAGGCCACCCGGAGGGCCCCGGATCTGGCCGAAGTCGACGCGATGCCTCCCTCAACGCCGACCACGGCAGCTCCAATCAGACTACAACTGCCTCCTCCGCCTCCTCCTCCTCCTCCCTACCTCCTCCTACTCCTCCTCCTCCTCCTCCTCCTCCTCCTCCTCCTCCTCCTCCTCTTCCTCCTCCTCCTCCTCCTCCTCCTCCTCCTCCTCCTCCTCCTCCTCTTCATACTCCTACTTGTCCTCCTCCTCCGCCTCCTCCTCCTCCTCTTCATACTCCTAC